AGGGGTGGGGAACCTTGGCTCTTTTATGAGTTGTGGACTTCAACTCCCAGAATTCCTGAGCCACAAATATACATTGAATTTGAAAGATTGCCTTTGCAGTGATTGGCAACAACAGTATGATGACTCATTACACAAATAGCATAAACTGCTCTAAAAATTTAGACTTGCCCCCAAGGACGGTTGAGTCTGTGGTTTCACCATGTTGCTTCACCTGTTATTTTTGGCAAAAGAGATGCATTCCAATAACCAATGCCTCATTCCTTTTGTTTCCTTCTAGAGCCAGCTGCATTGGGTGCAAAACAAGATGGAGGAGCCAGCAAGATCGGCGAACAGCCCAAGGGACACCCTAAGAGTGAGTAGGGTCTTCTTGACAGCAGCTCCTTGTTACCAGATGGAAACTGTCCTTACTTTGCTTTTGATCCTGCTCTCTTTCTGTCTCCAGAAATCCTGCGAACACACGTTTTCCTCATGGCCCAGACCTATTCTTCTTCTCGTTGTGTTGAAGTGGAGGTTTGGCTTCCTGACGATCGGGAAAGTCAAAATAATTCCCTGGTAAGGCACACAGATTCCTAGAGACATCCTCCCTCCTAGAGGTAGGAAGATCTAGTTCAGTGATGGTGAGCCTTTGGGGCTAGATGTGTCAAAAATTCACAAAGTCCTAACTCTGTTGCTGTGTTATTCCCCCTTCTGCCACAAAAGACAAACAATTCTTTACGTATTTATTTATTCTTTGAAAAAATGCAGTCCAGTCATGGATGGTGCTAAATATTGTATAAAGCAGGGGTGTCAAACTCAATTTCATTGAGGGCCGCATCAGCATTGCGGTTGCCTTTTGCGGGGGCCGGGTGGGTGTGGCCAGGGTGGGTGCAGCCTACTGGGTGGGCGTGGATGGAGTGGGTGTGGCCTACTGGATGGGCATGGCCACCTCTACATCGTTCGCGTCAAGGGTGCCTGTGGGGGCCTGGGCAGGAGTGGGACAGATCTGAGGGTCTCTGGCAGAAGGGGGTGGGACCGGGGCAAGCGCCAAGGCTTGGTCCATTTCTTCAATCCTCACAAAGGGTGACACCTCTCCAGCATGCACCCAGGGGCGGGGCCGACACGGCAGGGGCTGGTTCCTCGCTGTTTCCAGACAGCCTTGTGGAGCTAAGACTGAATATGTTTCAGCATAGATGGCCACCACAAAATTGTACATTGGCTCCCGGCCTGCCTGGGCCAAGGCCAAGGCAGCAGGGGCTGTTCCCTCACTGTTTCCAGGATGGCTTCGTGGGCCACATGAAATGACTTCTCGGGCCGCATCCGGCCCCCGGGCCTTGTATTTGACATGTCTGGTATAAAGGAATGTCAAATAGTTACAAAAAAAAAAAAGAAATATGAGTGGAGCTTTTGAGAATAATTGTTGGGAGTTGGTGAATTTGGCATGTCACCCAAAACATCATGGTGTGTCTCTTTTGACAGACATGTCATACATTCATTATCACTGATCTAGTTATTTATTATTATATGGATTCCCAGACCTTCTCTGGAAGGATCTCTTGCCCTAGGCCAAACATACAGAAACATAATAGACAGGTGGTTGCAAACTCTACTGTTGCTTATTTACTACAACTGTCCAAATGACAGGGATGCTGTTAGCACCATACACATACACTGGAGAGAATTTTCCAAAGTCAAGGAAGCTCTTCTTAATAGAATCCCAAAGTTTCCAAGTCTGAAGTAGAAAGCAAAAGAGTAGTCAGGGGGAGGTCCAAGGGTCAAAGCAGCACAGCAAGTTTGTCAGAACCAAAGAAAGTTGTGGGGTTCAAGACAACATTCAAGACACACAGAATCTCACAGCCATCGTGGCGCAGTGGTTAGAATGCAGTATTGCAGACTAATTCTGCCCACTGCCAGAGTTCGATTCTCACTGGCTCAAGGTTGACTCAGCCTTCCATCTTTCTGAGGTCGGTAAAATGAGGATCCAGATTGTTGGGGGCAAAATGCTGTCTCTGTAAACCTCTTAGAGAGGGATGTAAAGCACTGTGAAGTGGTATATAAGTCTAAGTGCTAAGTGCTGTCTGGGTTCCCAGAGGGTTGTTGCCAACCGAGAGGCTTGGGTCTTATTCTGCAAAGTAGAGCCACTGACAGGTGAAAGCAACCAGAACCACTTGTGAAGAGTCTCAATGCTAGTTTGTTGCTAGTTAACTATGTTTACAAGACTCTCACCGGACAGACCTCATTGCCCTGGGAACAGCAAGATAAGGTTTCAGAGATTCTGGGGGAGATCAGGCAGGTGCTGCTTCCTACAGTGCAGTGACTCCAAACTTCAGCCTCTCTTAACTCCTCCGTCCAGTCTAACTGGAGATTCCACCACATCCTGGTGTCATTCATGACAGGAGAATACAACTCCTTTCTCTCAAGAAGACTTGTAGAGCATCTTTGCTCTGCTCTCTTCTCCCCACAACAAGTCCTTGCGCAGGTTGGAGGTGGCAGATCAGGCTTCTCATCTTCAAACGCATTGGCTGCTTCGGTTGATCACCTGACGACTCCACCTCAGGTGCCTGCAGTTCCCGAGGCAATGGTTCATCTGGTAATTCTGGAGCAGGTTGCACATTGTCAGTCCTTTCATCTGAGCTCACCAAAACAAAGGGCAATGGTGCACATGGGGCCTCCCCTCATTTTATCCTGCAAAGTAGGTGAGGTGAAGAGAAAGAAGCAGTCTACAGTCACCCAGTGAATTCCAAGGTTGAGAAGGCTCTTAACCTGAGCCTCCAGGGTCGCGTTTCTCAGTCTTGGCAACTGAAGATGTGCTGACTTCAACTCCCAGAATTCCGCAGCCAGCATGCTGGCTGGGGAATTCTGGGAGTTGAGGTCCAAACATCTTCAAATTGCTAAGATTGAGAAACTCTGCTCCAGATAACGGTATCTAATATTCAGCTCTCATGTAAAATGAGGCGATGTAGTCTTCTAGTACAGGGCTTTTCAACCTTTTCACCCACTGTACCACTTTTAGGATATGGCAACATCCGAGTACCACCAGTCACCTAGCAAGGTGTCAAAAACTTGATGACCCCCCCAAAAAAGGAAAAAAGTGATGAAGTACAGGTAGTCCTCGACTTACAACAGTTCACTTAGTGACTGTTCGAAGTTACAATGGCACTGAAAAAAGTGCCCCACCCCCAAGCCACAGCCGAGCAAGACACCTGCCTGCCCACCCAGCGGCACTCTTCCTCCTGTCTAAGGTTTTCATTGTTGTGAGCATTTCTGTTGAGGATTGGCAGCAGGGGTGGGGTGGGGGGGTGTTTGGTTTTTATTCCCCCCATCTGCTGGGTGGTTGCAGCAGGTTTTGGTCACTTCACATGACCCTGGGACACTGTGCCCGTCATAAATATGAATCGGTTGCCAAGCATCTGAATGTAAATCACAAGACCCTGGAGATGCTGCAACATTCCAGCTGATTGGCGCTTCTTCTGGGCTTAGCAGAAGCTCCAGGATCAGCATCGAGCTCCAGCTGGAGCCTGGCGCTGATCCTGGCGCTTCTTTTCTAGGATGTTTGCGTACCACCTGCCAGGTGCCAATGTACCACAGGTGGTACCCGTACCACTGGTTGAAAAGCCCTGTTCTAGTACTAGTGGGTGTATCAAACATATCCATCTGCAATTTGACCTCAGTTCCCATCGTCCACAAACAGTGCAATGAAGTGCCATGCTAGGTCACACTGACAGAAGTTGTAGATCAAGATACTCAGAGACTGCTAGCATAAGGAAGCCTGTTCTAGCCTTTAGAGCAGGATTGTGAGAAGAATTTGAGGATTATAAACTTCTCCTTGCTTCTCACAGACAAGATTTTTGACTCCAGGCGTAGCCTCCAACCAGTAATAATATATTAATGTTGCTAAGGAGTCCTTTGTCCCTTATGAAAGGGATTCCATGAGTATACAAATATATAGTACATATGAGCTTATTCTGTGCAATTTGTTTTGTGCTCTATTTGTTTATTGTAATATACACAAACTGCATTGGGTAAAAAGGCTGACCTTGTTCAGACTGACAGGCTATCTGATCTATTTGGAACGCTGACAAGCAGGCATGCTGGTAATCACAACCCTTGTTTGCATTTCTCTCAGCATCCATTAACTCATGATTGATTGATTTACACAGAAATCTTACCTTTCTTCCAAAGAATGCAGGCTAGCATTCTTACAATACATTAGGCTGAGATTTACTGAATAAACCGCAATCAGCTGGGTTCATCCAATGGTCAAGTGGTTAAGGTGCTGGCCTAGGTACCAGGAGACTCTGAGTTCTATTCCCGCCTTATTCATGAAAGATAGCTGGGTGACTTTGGGCCAGTCCCTCTCTCTCATCCCAATCCACCTCACACAAACAATTATCTTACAGGCTCATGTTTCAATAGAAGAGAATATTTGTAGCTCAGGGTTGAAATATAGAGTCCTTGGTGCTCTCTGAGTGTGGTTGTTTTCTTGTCGGCGTCTCATTACCTGATTAGGTAACATTATCAGTGCTATGGGGTATGGGGTATAGGGTTTGCTCCCTGTTTATATACAGTCGTTTGCCCTGTTGATATGCCCAGCTGATTTGGCTGATTTTCTGTTTGGTAGGTCCTTCGTTGTGGTATTGTTTTCTGCTTGACTTTTGTCTGGTGCTAATCCCTACTTATCTAGGTGTTGGTTGCCTGAAGAAGAAGTGTTCTGGTTATTGTGTTGTGTTCTGTGTAGTATTTTTCCAATTGTGCTGGCTCTAGACATTGGGAACCATAGTCCTACCATATCATAGTATGATATTTGAAGCATAACAACTAGATTAGGTAATAGCTTTGTACCATATAGTATCAACCTTATAAATTCTCAAGACTCCTTTTTCCGCGATGTATTCAAGGACTATGATTAATATACAGTATACTGTATATCAGTGATGGCGAACCTTTTAGAGACCTAGTGCCCAAAAACTGGCCCCACCCCCGCTCCACCCCCTCAGTTCAATCCAATTCAGAACCAGGCAACAGGGAAAAAGGGAGGAGAATAAGGATAGCCCGGGAAAAAGAAACCGGAAGTAAATCACATCTTCCAAGTTGATTGGAAGATGTGAACCATGACCCCAAAATAAGGGGGACGGGAAATGCTTAGAATTGTATATGCGTAACGGAAAAGAAGCCAGACCTAAGCATTTCCACCATGCTGTACTGATGTCTCTGTAACCTTAATAAATGCTTTTAGGGAAAAATATGCCTGAAAGTCCTTTTAAGTGTTTTCGTTAATCAGCAGCGTTGACATTCAGTCTGGCAGGCCTCGGATGGGAAAAGCTCTTTGATTTTTTTCTCCCTCTTCCTTTCTAGGGATCTCTGCAGTACAACTGCTTCCCAGTAGCTCTCAGCGGGGAGCTGAATCTTACAGTCTTCATGCAGCCTCGCTATCATTCTGCAGGTGTGTTACAAGCAACACAACGTGGACCAGGTGAGTTCCCCAGAAATCAGTAATGAAACAACCTTTGATAAGATCAGCCTGAAACTCTCCACCCATCGGATACCTCTGCTGTGTTCTTTTCACAGACTGTACCTGGCCCAAAGCCACAGAGGCCATTCGCCTGTGTCAAGGTATGTTGCAATGCACCGACCTCATCAATACTTTTCCCTCAGTGTAGGCATCAGTAGGGATCCAAGCAAAGCCTGGAATTCCTTTTTGTAGCATAAAAGAACCGTACTTCTTGGATCCAACCCAATAGCCCGAACATCCAGTTGCAAACAATGATTGGAAACTGACCAAAGAGAGAAGCAACCTGGAATTAAGGAGAAACTTCCTAACGGTGAGGACAATTAACCAGTGGAACAGCTTGCCTCCAGAAATCGTGGGTGCTCCATCACTGGAGGTTTTTAAGAAGAGGCTAGACAGTCATTTGTCTGAAATGGTATAGGTTCTCCTGCTCGAGCAGGGGGCTGGACTAGAAGACCTCCGAGGTCCCTTCCAGATTCTATTCTATTCTATTCTATTCTATTCTATTCTATTCTATTCTATTCTATTCACCATTTAAACCATAAGCCATAACTTACAAGCTAGAATGGCTGCATCGATACAGCACATTGAGATGTGACCGTTCGAAGTTACAACGGCACTGGAAAAAGTGACTTAGTATCCTGGGGTCATGTGATCACATTTTGTGACCTTCTGACAAGCAAAGTCAGCAGGGAAGCCAAGATTCGTTTAACAACCGTGTTACTAACTTAACAACTGAAGCGATTCACTTAACGAGTGTGGCAGGAAAGTTTGTAAAATGGGGCAAAATTCACTTAACAAATGTCTTGCTTAGCAACAGAAAATTTGGGGTCAATTGAGACTGTAAGTCGAGGACTACCTGTATTTTGATAAATAACTCAAGGCAGTGAACATACCTAATAGTCTTCCTTCCTCCTATTTTCCACACAACTACAACCTTGTGAGGTGAATTGGGCTGAGAGAGTGAGTGACTAGCTCAAGGTTACCCAGCTAGCTAGGTATTTTTTATATATATAATTTTGCCTTTCTTGATTCAAACCTAATGAGATTAGTCAATCTTATCATATTGGGTCATTTACTTTTTTAAAACAACAACAACATATTCTTATTTCGTTTGTGGGTCCTGTCTTGGAGACAGTTCATACTGCTGGCTCTTGCCTCATACTCAAAAGGCTTTAGACAGTGCTTTTTTTCTAAAAAAAAAAAAAAAAGGTGCCAGAACTCACACACGTCATACAACCCCCCTTGCCTACCCTACAAGGTTCCATCCAAAAAAGATGCCGGAACTCCGTTCTGGGCGTTCTATGAGAAAAAAAGCCCTGGCTTTAGAGACGATATAGTTGACTGCATAAAAGAAAAAGGAATGATTGAAGTGGGAAAAAAGATAAGAGGGGAACAGACAGCCATCTTGGAAGAGTAGGTGCTTTTTGAGCTCCCAGGAAACAGAAGTCCCCACTTAGATCAAGCAGCTCTGGACGTCTGATTGAGCGCTCAATGCTAATGACAAATTTTGTCTTACAGTGCCACGTTTAGACATTTCTGTGGGACTACGGTCGGCAATTCTACATGTGCAAAACACCCCTAAAGGACAGCACTTCAAACTGTGGCCGTATCTGAATCGGACAGACGGATTTAAAGGTCTTGATCAGGAGACTCCCAAGTTGCTAGTAAGTGAAGGTTTCCCCCAATATTGGTCAAGCCTCGTACTTCAGGGTAGTCCTTGCTTAACAACAGCAACTGGAACCAGAATATCTGTCGCTAAGTGATGCGGTCATAAGGCGATGTCCCATGACCTCATCGCTTAGCAACAGCAATCCTGGCACTCCCGTTGCCACTGTTAAGTAAGGATCACAGGCCTTTAAGCAAGTACCAGGAGAGTCGCAAACAGACTGGCAGGCAGGTAAGGCAGGCTGCTTCTGGTGGGAGAAGGTGCACAACTGGTTGGTGAGACACTGTGCGAATGCAATGGGATCGGGAGCGATCGGTGCTGGGTAGGGGAGAGTGTCAGACCTGCCCTAACTTAGACATTTATGAAAGAAAGATGCTCGACTCCATTTGGTTGAAGTGATAGGTTCTTTTACTAAAGTTAAGTGGTTGCAGCGAAAGTAAAGCTAGATTTATTTTATTTATTTTATTTACTAAATTTATATACCGCCCTATCTCCCTTACGGGACTCAGGGCGGTGAACAGGCGATACTAAAAACCACAATAATAAATAAATAGTTTCTGTTCTAGATCTGAGTATTCCAGTGTCAACGCTGCTAATATTGAATATTCTTGCTTTGACAAAATATGCAGAACTGTCTGGTATTTTAAGAGTTAATTCAGACGACAGAAAAGGGAGGAGATTAGTAGGAAAGCCCGGGAAAAGGAACGGAAGTGAATCTTTGCCCTCCAGGTTAATTGGAAGATGTGAATCATGACCCCAAAATAGGGGAGGGGAAATGCCTGGTATGTTATGTGCAAAAGGAAGGGAAATTCAGATCTTGGCATCCATCATGCCGTGCTGACAGTTCTCTACAATAATAAAGGCTTTTTTAGGTTAAACCATGCCTGAAAGTTCTTTGAAGTGTTTCATTAGTCAAACACATGATAGTTACCCTTTTCCCCTTTCCTTGGCCCTCCCCCCTTGACCGGTCCATGAGTGCCCAATAGTATGGCGGGTTGAAGTTTTGGGAACCGCTTTGATGTTAGGTGCCTCTCAATGTAGTTTCGCCTTCTGTTCCCAGGCTGTGTATCCTTAGTGGCTGGCTTATTCCAGTTTGGCACCTCTAGTTCTTGTCAACTTGTCTCCCCTCCAGTTTACCTTCCCATTCCCATGTCTGAACTTTACTTCCCCAAATTCCTTCTCCTCTCTCCCGCGTTTTATGGCAGGATGCCCGCAAAGTGAAGAAGCTGAAGATGACCGACCTGACTATTGGAGCAACTTGCAACCTTCTCTGCTGGCTTCCCCATTGACTTGGCTTGCAGGAAGCTGGCAGGGAAGGTCGCAAATGCTGATCATGAAGCATCGCCAACCGTCATAGGTGTGAACCGGTTGTCAAGCACCCAGACTGCGATCACATGACTGCAGGGATACTGTGATCGCTGGAAGTCAAAAGTACCCCTTGTTCAGTGCCCAGAATTAGGGGATGTAGGATGGGTGGCCCTATACGGCTTTGAAATAAATAAAATATAATATTGGTCGAAATGGATGGCGTATCAAGTTAACAAATCAATAAAATGAAAACAAACAAATTTGGAATCCTACTATCCTGAAAACATCTGTGAAGTAGTGGATTCTGATTTCTTCACATTTTTCTCCCCCTAACACAGGGGTCTTCAAACTTGGCAACTTTAAGACTTGGGCTGGCTGAGGAATTCTGGGAGTTGAAGTCCACAAGTCTTAAAGTTGCCAGGTTTGAAGACTCCTGCCCTAACCTATTGTTCTATTTTAGACTGGATCGGAGAATGTGAGCTTGCCAATCTCGCAGGTGTTCCCTTGTCTCTGCTTTCAGGTAAGAACAATCCTTCACAAGATCTTTTCTCTCCCACGCTTCTTTAGGCTCCCTACAACTACAGAGCAGGTAACAGAGTGCAAGATTAAGGCAGAGCTACAGTTAGAATATTTTAGCTCATTTTCTGAGCGGCAACATTTCTGGGAATTGCTTCTAGAGATGGAAAGATTGAGTTCCTGTAGAGGGTTGGTCTCTTAGGCAGAAATTCAGGGCCTTGGAGAGGTGCCAAAGGACTCACCGAGGAGGGGCAGGAAATTCTCAGAATTCCTGAAGAATGCTTCCAAGATGGGAATTGTAGAGTAATTTTTTTTACCTCTAACCAGCAGCTAAAATGGAAACCAGAAGCTCTTGGATTATTCTAAATTAGGGAGAGAGAAGCTGCAGCCTCCAGATGGAATCAGGCCTGGAAGGACACCATTTGTGGCTCTTCCTGACCACTCCAGGATTCACTGTAGCGTAAATCCTCCAATGAAATTGTAAACCTACCACAAATATAGTTTTTAAAAAACCAAGCCTATCTTCCCCCAAAATAGTCCCATCATTATCTTAGCACCATTGCCTCACCCATTCCAGCCCCAGGCTGTTAAAAATTTAGTGCAAACCCTCATCATCAAAAAAAACATTGTCTATCCCTATTCTAATAGTGCCTGATTGACACTTGATTTTCTCAAAGAGCAAGGACTGATTTCTTAGTTATTTATAACAAACGAGATTTGGCAGATGGCAACACCTGGTCAATCTGATCTGGAGATCAGAAGCAAAGACACATCAAGTCTAGTTAGTATTCAGATGGGAATTTAGGAAGTTTTTCCATGGTGGTAGACTTGTCTGGGGCATTAAAGAAGCATCCCAGAACAAGGCCATGACATTCATACTGTGGCCAAAAAGCACTGTACAGTTGTGCCGGTGAGAACACCAAGAGCTGAGCTTGACGGGAATATTTTATCTGAACCAAATAGGAGGGTAGGTTCAGGACCGGGGATATGACACGGACTGTGGTAGACCACTCGATAAAGTAGATACGTCGTTAAGAGTCCAATTATTGTTGTTGTTGTTGTTATTATTTCAACCTTCCTTGAAACCTCCAGTAGATCAGGTTTGGGGACGAGGAAAGATACAGTCTGAAACAGAAAACCCGAATCACACGTTAACTTTACCGTCAATATCGTTAATGCAATATGCACTGATTATGCATAGGGTTCTACAGCATCGTTCATTGCCAGATAGGTCCTTTGAGAAAAATGACATCAAATGCCCTGTGTGATGACCGGAACATTGCAATCCTTAACCAGCTGTTAATGCATGGAGGATGGGAGGGCAGGGTAGGCCCCTCCCTCCCAGAAGCATCCACAGAGGGGTTCAATGAAGTCAAGATGGCGGCTGTAACTATGCCACTGAGATCCTGGGCATACCTATACAGTCTTGTGAAAGTCAGATGTATGAATAAACCAAATCAAATAGGTTCATAGATTCACACGAGAGTCCCTACACTGGATTTGGCCATGCTGGCTTAAAAAATGAAACCACAAGCTAGATTTGATTCTGAACAACTGCTATAGCTGTGGATCCAAGGGGCTTTGCTTCTCTTGAGAAGGGGACATCCAATATCAATATTCTTCCCAGAAATTGATATTGCAGCAGTTTAAAAATCGGATGGATGGATGGATGGATGGATGGGAAGGCTCTTGGGGGCCATCTCTCTGTCCCCTTATTCTCTCGAATATTGTGTTCATAGGTCTGGCCCAAGATTGAAGACCAAGCTGACACACCTCGAACTCATTTCTGTCCCTTTGCAAATGGTATGAAAATGGCATTCATTCAGTTTTTGAGTTTTTAAGGTAGATAACTATTGGCTAAAAGAAATGTAAATATATCCATATTGTTTTTTGGGGGTGGGCTTCCCGGGAAGATGGCATTGCTTTGATAGACGTGCAACCTCTCATTTCAGACCCAGCTGCTTTGGCCAGGGCCTGGGCCCACAGCCGCTTGGAAGTCCACACTTCCGGTGGAAGTTTGAGCTGCTTGGTTTCTGCTCCGTGTGACCTTCAAGGAGAGTTGGTTCCCTGCTGGCAGATGGAAGAGCTCACCTGCCACCCTTTGCATCCCCATCTGCATCTGGCCCTCCTTCCACATGTGAGTAGAGAAAGCAAAAAGAGGGAGGAGGAAGAGAAATGTCAATCGGAAGATGAAGAAGAAGCAGCTGAGAATTAGAAAAATGATAAGGTCTCATGTCAGTGTGCGGACGCTGCCAGGTTGAAGGGATTCTGCTAAAAATTCCCACTAGGAATTACATAATATAAACCTGGTTGCTGCAACCTTTTCTCTCTTCCCTCCCCAATTCCTCTTTTTTTTTCTCTTGGCTCTTTCATTCTTCCTCCCACTTTTACGCTTATCAGCAGTTCCTTCCTTCCTTCCTTCCTTCCTTCCTTCCTTCCTTCCTTCCTTCCTTCCTTCCTTCCTTCCTTCCTTCCTCTTTTAGGAGTCTGAGGGCTGAGAAATGAAGCATCTGACATCTTCATTTCTCCAGAAGAACTCTAAGAGATGGAAGAGGTGGTCAAAAGGCTCATAGGTGTAAAAAGATGTCCTTTCTAAGAGTTTGTGCCCTTGAAAAATTTTGATGCACACATATACACCCCCTCCAAAATACGCAACTATGTGATGAAAATAATGAGAATATCAGTAGTTGTGTTTAAATGGTTAAATATATGGGAGTGTTGTTGTTGTAATTATTATTATTAGATTTTTATCCCACTTTTTAAGATACATTTTTGTCAGTTCAATCCAGTGAACTTACTTAATACTTCTGCCTCCTATTTTTCCCCACAACAACAACCATGTGGGGTAGGTTGAACTTAGAGAGAATCCAAAGTCTTCCAGTTGGCTTTCTGTCCAAGTCAGGACTAAAATTCAGTTTCCTGGTTTCTAGGCCTCGCCTGAATCACTACACCATACTGGCTCTATTCCAAATATATTTCATCAATTCAATTTCATTAATGAAATTTAATTTCAGTATTCCAACTGTATTTCATTAATTCAATATAGACCAAGGGTCTTCAAACTTGGCCCTTTTATGACTTGTGGTCTTCAATTTCCAGAATTCCTTAGCCAGGCATGCTGGCTGAGGAATTCTGGGAGTTGAAGTCCACAAGTCATAAAAGGGCCAAGTTTGAAGACCCCTGAGGTAGACTTTCCTTGGTGGCATTTTGTTGCTGTTGCTGTTGTTCTTGTCCTATACACTTCTTTGTCCTAGACTTGCCTCCTTTTGAAATTCACCTCTCTGTTGCTCGGCCTCCTCACACACACATTCATTCATTCATTCATTCATTCATCAGACTGGGCTGAGGGACATACTTATCCTTTGACACTGTGCACTCCTGTCTTAGGATAAGCAACCTTTGGGATTGGAAGCTCGGTATGCCTGAAGGATTTGCTAAAGGGCTGGAGGATTGTAAGCATTTCATTGGAGACTTTTAGGTGTAGCCCCTTTCAGTCAGGGGAGGGTTGTGTTTTGCACATGAGCAGAGGGGGCAGCTATACAGGATGCACACATGACTTGGGCTTCCAGACCTTTCTGCAATGGGTTGCTTGTAACCGAACTGATTTTCCCAATGTTCATAGGAACCACAGGAATTCCCAAGACTGCGATCTCATCCCAACCTCTGTGTGCAGGTAGGAACAGAAAAATGGAGAAAAAATGGGCAACCTTGCTTTCAGTTTCCAAGGATTCTCCATGGGGTGGATTATTTTAGCAGACTTCAAAAGTCAAAAAGAGGTTCTCTCATTGCTCTGAAATGGAGCTTGGACTGATTTGAAGGGGGAAAAAAGGCTGGACATCTTCAGTGACTTTTTGCTTCTTGGAGCTACTAGAGCGTGTGGCTGGATCTATCTCTTAATCTAGACCACAGTTTTCAACTTTGCAATTTAGAGATGCCAGGAGGACTGGGGAATTCTGGGAGTTGAAGTGCACACATTTTAAAGTTGCCAAGGTTGAAAAACCCTGGTCTAGATGTATAAGGTGTGTAAGGTGCTACATTGACTACATTTCCCAGAACTGAAGACTGCTCTATGTAGCACATAGGCACTGAGCTTTTTAGTTGGCACTATTAGTCATTATTAAATGAAAAAGCTTCCTATATAACAGAATAACAGAGTTGGAAGGACCTTAACGTTCTTCTAGTCCAGGGGTAGGCAACCATGGCTCTTTTATGACTCGTGGACTTCAACTCCCAGAATTCCTGAGCCAGCACGGCTCAGCTTGGAAACCTCTCCCTTTTCCCTCAGCGTGGCTGGCTCAGGAATTCTGGGAGTTGAAGTCCACGAGTTATAAAAGAGCAAAGGTTGCCTACCCCTGCCCTATACCATTCTGGATAAATGGCTGTCCAATTTCTTCTTTAAAACCTTCAGTGTTAGAGCACCCACAACTTTTGGAGGCAACTTGCTCCACTGATTGTTCTAAAAGGCTGGACATTCCTACTTAGTTCTAGGTTGCTTCTCTCTTTGATTAGTTTCCATCCATTGCTTCTTGTCCTGCCTTCAGGCGCTTTGGAGAATAGCTTGATTCCCTCTTCTTTGTGGCAGCCCCTGAGATACTGGAACACTGCTATCAGGTCACCCCTGGTCCTAATTTTCATTAAATGAGTAATCATGATTAGATAGTTGGGTACCGCTTTGGTGGGCACATTAATGGGGACATGAAAGGAGCCCCCTGTGCATCAGTGATGTCACTGGTTAATCCTTTCAACATGAAAGCAATGCTTCCAACAAAAACCTGAACGTTATCATGATAATCTCCCCATATTCCAGCAATCCAAGTTTTCCCTCTTTGTACAGGTAAGAAGGAATGGAAGTACCTACCTCCAAAGCTGCCTGCAGGATGGTAAGTGCTGATGCAGATGCATGCCTAACTGTTCCCACAATTAGCAGTTCTGTTTATTCTGCAACATTTATTTCAGCTCCAAATATGGTTCCAGGAAGCTCTCTTTAGGTGGGGAATGGCAGAAAGCCCACAATGCAACTGTGGTGCACTAGAACAAGCTATAACACATATAGTTA